TGTGATAAAGGTAAAAAAAAATGGATGTTAAATTTTGAGCAATAACCAGAAGACTAGAATATAAATTTCTTTTAATTTTTATTTCATTCCGAGTTGAGATTTTCTACAACTATTGTCTATCCTGCCTTGGTAAGAAATTGTGTGAACAATACGGATCAACTGTACCCTAGTAGTAAGCCCTCTTTGACTTCCAACCGCTACTTAAATTCTCAAAAGTAAACTTCAAATCCTTTGTCTGAAACTGGAAACTCCCCGGTGCAGATGTTGACTGGTTCATGTGTTTTTCTATCTCTCAGTACCTCTGATTCGACATGCTAAACAGCCACCGGTTGGTAAATTAGCAAGGATTATCGTTTTTACGGAGCACACAGAACCCGTCAGACCAATGGTGCGTTGGTGACGCCCCAGGGCCGAATCGATTTCGGATTGGATGACCAAGTCGAATCAGACAGTCGAATCAGTCCGATCAATCAACCGGAATGTCAATGACGCGATCTGATTGGTGTGTGTCACCACGTCGTTTCTCGTACGCCTGATTTATCGCCTATATTTGCCTATTGTGTTATGATTAATACACTCTGAATGTCGTTTTCTCAGCCGTGTTCTCTCTCCCTCTGTTGTTCGGGCCTAGTTCAGAGGCGCTCTTATCAATCATACGTCTTGGCAAGACATAACAATTGAGTAATTTGACTATATGCAATTAAAGTGTTAGCCATCGATCGTGTAGTTCACAGATATGCGTTTGTACTATTGGATTTTATTGCAGATGACTTTTGCAGGCAACTGTGTCTACATTTCAGTCAAACATGTGTTCACCGTTACATTGGGATAAAAAATGAAATGAAAATTCATATACTACAATGATAAAACGTTATCAGGTGTTCACCTTTGGAGGTTTAAAATTAGTTCGTTACGGATTTTCATCGTGTCAGTGAGAAAACAAGCCAGACAGGGAACTGTTGAGTTGTGATAAATGTTTATGCGGTAAGCGGGTAAGCAGTGAAAATTGGATCGGGTTGAAGCGTGTGGGAACAGTAAGCAGATAAATCGGGATTGAGTGGATGACTGGGGTCATTGAGTATCTTGTGAGCGAGATTCTCATATAAAGTGATATGCAAATTACGCAATTTTGTGATCAGAGGAAGGAATAAGAGAAACACGGCTGATAATCACCAAACCGCGACGTAGAGTAATGAAGTCCTCTTCTAAGTAGTCCAGAGGAAATAACGGGTGAACAATAAAGTATGATAGGGAAGGTGCATTGATAAACAAAGGAACATACAGTTTCATGGTTCACTCGAAATTGTCGTAGCTTACGTATTTGAAAAGATAATCGACGCAGTCTACCAACACAAGCAAGCATATGCGATCCTTTTATACGCATAACCGAAGTCCAGTCCGCTCTTACTGCATTTTTTCACCGGAGTTCACTGCGGATAGTGGTGTTCGTCATGGTTGCCCTTCCTCTCCTTTTCTATTTAACTTTGTTATAGATCTGATTATGGAAACAGTCCCATCCTCGTGTGATTTATTCCCAGGTGGCAGACTGTCTGATTTGGAGTATGCAGACGATATTGTGCTACTGAGTGAAAATCAATGTAATTTGCAAGCTTTTCTGGGTAGCTTGAGTACCAGCACAGTCATGTTCGGCATGCGTTTGGCGCCTTCAGAGTATAAAATTTTGCTACAAGACTGGATTAGTCCAGCACCTAGCCTCACTCTAGTTTTGTTACTTTGGCAGCTACATCTCATCTGGTGGACACATCACGACTGAAGTGTCAGTTCGCATACAGAAGGCTCGATTGGCATTTGCCAAATTGAAACAGCATCGCGAAATCCGGCTGTACACACAAATAGTCGAGTGTACACTACGGCAGTGCGACCAGTTCTGCTCTCTACAACACAACTGAGCACAAACTGATCAGTTTATCCCGAACCGCATCAATAAGACCAGCTTTTGGCATTGAACGGGGGAATTTTTCAAAGAATGTCCATTTAATCTCTATACCATATTTCTTGATAAAACAGTTAAAAGGATAAAACCATATATTTGGTGGTATGTGTTCTGGTGACGAGTACGGAATTGACGGCTGAAGGTTCCAAGGGATATTTGGATTGGGAAAGACTGAAAACGCATTCGAAGTATTTAGACGTAGTCAACCGGAGACCGGATTGGTTCGCAAATGATTGCACTTGTAGTAAACTGTTTCGACTCCCAAATGGAAATCTCACTGCCCGAGTCCTGAGAGAGAGAGAGACGAGGTGGATTAAAAACCATTGAGAGGTTTCAACCCAAAACGGGACAGTGCTTTTGGTTGGCCATTGCACGCACACAAGCAGAGATTCAAGCAGTCAATCCTACACAAGTATACAATGCGCAGATCTTGCACGTTTGCATGTACGGAACAAGAAAAACGACCGGTTTACCGGTATCGGATTTCGATCACGCTGATCTCCTTGTTTCACAAGAAACCTTTCACACTTCATCCACATGATACTGTTATCGGTAGGGAAAAATGAACACATTGTGCGACAGGCACCTCAGCATGTGCTTCATTATCTCCTGATTTCAAACGTGAAATTCGTCGTGTCTATAGCAAATGAAGTGTGAACTGCAAAACAGGGAAGCACTGCTGGACAGCCACTATGACGACCTGGTTCGGTCTCCTCAGTAGCAGTGCACGAATCCGTCCACCCAAATAGGGATCGAACCCGGGGAACTCAGAGGCAGGATGCAAGCATGCTATCCCCACTCGGCCTTGATTTGTCATTTCTTCCCTCTTCTTTTATTGGACCTGCTACAACTACGTTGATCCAGTTGGTCTGTTGATCCGTCAATCTGTGTTCTCGCGCCAGTGACCTGGATCACCTTCGGCCTTAGATGTTCCCTCTCACCACTCCCCGCTCTCCTTATTCGTTACCCGGTGGACATCTACCGACCA